CTTGGAATACTATTGCATGTATAATATCCTGAATTGGTGTACAATAAAGATTATTCTATTCTATTCTAAAATATGATCAAAATTTTTCCAGCTTGTTAAAAGATTACCCGGCACACAGACAGACAGACCAAAAAGAAATTGAACTGGTTTTTAGGCATAGGAATCGTGCAAGTAACCGTGTGAACATGAAAAAAAAACCTATTATTTTGACATTACAAACTGACACTTCAATTTCATTTATTTGTATAGATATCATCATCATCAACAGCCTTTAACAGTCCACTGCTGGACATAGGCCTCTCTTTAGAAAAGATTTTTTGGCCAACTACCACGCTGGCCAGACGCGTTGGTATAAGGTTTGTTTCAAGTTTTCCTTCTCTTTGCAGTGCTGTCGTCCTGCGTAGTTAGTTCCCTTAGTCGGCTCTTACGACACCCACGGGATGAATAGGGTTGGTGACACTCCGTATTCTAAATCCGTCACCACACGCACATTTGTATAGATATAGATTTTTTTAATTTATTACAGTAATCATCATCTTCAGCCTATCACCGTCCACTGCTGACCTCCTCCAAAGAGCGCCACTCCATCCGTTGCCAGCCCCGTTTTTTTACAATACTGTAATAAAATATTACAGGAAATAGGTATAAAATTAAATAGAATCTCGTTAATCTATGCCCAAACACAATCATAACGACTCATGGTGGTTTTTTAAACCAGATCACTCCGTTCGTGGGCGGCCCGAACTTTTATTGCGAAATATTACAACATATGAGATGCGGCCATACAAAGAACAAAATAAATGTACACACAAACGGTCATATTGCACCGATACTGCGCTCATTGTTTTTATAGCCGCCATCTTGGAACCGTGAAAGCGAAAGATTTATATTTGTTGTTGCCTTGAACTCCACCTTTTCTTTTTTCCGTGCAGAAATCCCCTCGGATACCACCTATTGGTGGCATGTCGGACTCGAACCGACTAAAACCGCACGCCGTCTCGTGTACTAATAGCCGGGGAACCAGGTATACCCTAGAAAGGAAGTCCCGGGTGCGCCGACATACCTCGGGCCATCTACAGACGAGTAGATGACCCCCCCCCCCCGTGTGGGAACTCCATGTTCCCCTGCTCCCTGGAAGCAAGCGCGCTTCGCAACGCGCTCGCCGCCACCCCGGCCTGCTTCTGCTAGGGTGACAGATGGCCTCACCTGTCACCCCCAGGGCTGCGCTTATGGAGGACGGAGGTTGAGCCTTGAACTCCACCTAGTTTTAGATAATATTATAATAGGTATAACTACGCTAGAGAGGTGGTACTACCTAGTATATTAATGATGCAGATACACGGAGCCCGAATTCCTTCTTTTTTTTTGGGGGCTTAATTTCTGTAGAACGGAAATTAAATTGGAATATATACATATCACATCATCACATAAACAGCCTTTAATAGTCCACTGCTGGACATAAGCCTCTCCTTAAAAATACCTTTGGCCTACCATACCACACTGGCCAGACGGATTGGTATAGGGTTTGTGTCAAGTTTTCCTTCTCTCTGCAGTGCTGTTGTTCTGCGTAGTTTTTTCCTTTAGTCGGCTCTTACGACACCCAGGGGATGAATAGGGAGAATATATACATACATACTACATACAAATAAATAAAATTGAAGTGTCTGTTTGTAATGTCAAAATAAAAGGTGTTTTTCATGCTCACATGGTATTTTACTACTAGATAGCTGTCTATATAAGGAGTAACTTAGGCTATTTAAGTTTTGCCTGGTCCGGGCTCGTCGCATTAGGAATAAATCCTGTGTCGCGGGGGACTTTACAAACATACATGAAACGGACACAAAGAACACCCAGACTCAGAACAACAATTTGTGGATCACACAAAGTGTCATCCCATGTGGGACCCACAACACTCGGCGTAGTACGAAGCGGCGTGGCGACCGCTTAAACCACTACGCCATCCGTGCAGTCGAAGTTAAGTTTCTTGTTGTGCGCTGTGTTCGCCTTTTGCTGATTATGTACTTAAATGCTCTTTCGCAAGGGAAAGAAGTTAAAACACACACACTAATGTTACGTTCTAATATAACTGTTTTATAACGATATTGTTTAAAATCCTAACCTAAAGGTTCAAAACGTTTTACAAATAACTCACTTTTTTACCAAATACCTATTTGACGACCGGATGGCGTAGTGGTACCGGTTCTATTCCCGCTCAAGTCAAACATTTGTGTGCATGAACATTTAATGTATGATTTGGTCTGGGTGTTTCTATGCATAAAATGTATGTATTTACAAAAAAAAAAGTATATCTTAAATATAAAATTCTCGTGTCACAATGTTCGTTCCCGTACTCCTCCGAAACGGCTTGACCGATTCTCATGAAATTTTGTGTGCAGATCGGGTAGGTCTGAGAATCGTCCAACATCTATTTTTCATACCTCTAAATGGTAAGGGTGACCCATCCCTAATTTTTTTGTTTGGCAATACAACGTTTGCCGGGTCAGCTAGTATACCTATATGTATTTTTATCAGTTGTGTAGTACTCATAGTACAAGCTCTGCTTAGTTTGGGACTAGATGGCGTTGAGTGAATGTGAAAAAAAAATAACAAGAATTTAGTTGAAATAATCTAAGTTAAAACTTTTTAACTTTTGGTTTAAATTACTTATAATTTCAAATTAAAAAACAACAAGTCAACCGTTGAATTAAGTTTATTGTTTAGTTTCACCGTTTGTCTACATTAAATTATATAGTATAAAGTTTATAAACCCATTGGTAATATAACGTATGAAACATTAAAAGTTATAATAAAACTTAGTTTTAGTGAGATAAGACTCACAGTTCTATGAATTCAGCTCGCGACAAGGTGTTAACTGTTATTTTTGTTATGCCAAGCAATTTAAGTCTTATAATTTAAGTTAGCTAGTTCAGTAAGAATGCACTTTTTCTTTTTTAAATTAAAACACATTTTTTTGAAAGACGTGATATTTTTATTGGATTGTAAAGTAGACAAGTTCCTATTAAGTATGAAGTACACCTCAAGTTCGATCCTAACGCCATCTATCGAGCCAGGAGACAATTATTGTAATCATTGAAGTGTTTTTTTTTGTTATCATTACATAGTATAAAATAAAAAAGCTTTTTTCTTGTAAGTAACATAAGTGGATACCTATCTGTAATGTAAAAACATATTAACTAACAGTTAAAGCATCTATTGGTACATAATTTTATTCTATATTGCACGTTATGAAACAGGGGCTCCCGCTGTTACGAAATATAAAGTAGAGTACAACATATGTTTCAAACTCAAATATTTTTTATTGAGTAAGCCTCTTTACAGTGCACTTTCAAACCTCAGGAGTGCAATAAATTATCAAATTAAAAAAAAAACGACGCTTCAGAGTAATAGGGAGAGAGAGAAATAAATATTTATAACTACGTCCATATACCAGACTTATTTACTAAGTGAACTATTCTGTAATCACAGAAAAATCTCCATTTAAAATATATTCGATATCTTAAAAGATAAGGCATAAAAGGATAATTTTAATAAAGTTACTTATTTCAATAAACTTAAAGAAATTTTATTAGTTCGTATTTAATTAATACAATTTAAAAACTTTGGTTAACGCCATCTATCACCGAGTAGAAGAAACTAAGTTTTTACACGTGCCATTTGTTATTGGTTGGCGGTATTTCTTTGACCAAGTGCGACATACGAGTCGGCTGTCTTTTGTGACGATGTAGCTTTACTATTGATAAAAAGTGAAAACAATATACCAACTAGGCGTGATCTTTTTTTTAAGAGCTAACTAAGAATTTGAATAAAATGGTAATTGCTTAATATAGTTTAGAAGAATTTCATTAATAGTATTAGACACTTGGATAGTTTTAAATGTTAGTTTGTACTATTTTTTTAACAGACCATGATGTAATATATTTTTTATAACTCAATATATCCTAATTATCATACATTACATCTATACATATGTGCAAAGAAAACAATTTTTAACACAAAACCTGACTAACTTTTACCTCAACTCAACTAGGAATAGTACCTACAACAATCGGGTGCTTATAACCGCTGAGCCACAGATGTATGTCGGCATCCTTTGAACGCGCCGAAAAGCGAAATAATTTAACTAAAATTCTTTCATTTCAATCATTTCTATTGTGAATTTGAAAGTGAAACGACGCGTCTTAAATGACTGAGCTTTCTGCAATTCGTCGTGGCTTTTTACTCGGTGAGTTTTTGTATTGTTTTGATGTATTAATACTTGTTTTTATTTCTTTGTAAACAAATATATCTTACCTATTACTACTTCTGTTAAATCGATTGAATATTATTTGCCAAAGCAGGATTGACATGAACATCTTTGGGAATTATTTAATTCACAATGTGGTTTAAAACAATCATACTTCTCTTGAGAAAACTATTTATCAACGAAATTCATCATTTATCTTCGAAATTGTTAGAATGTAGTTTAAAAAAGCCTTAAATTTTACTCTAGCGAGCGACCATCTTGTTCTTTAAAGCAGTAAAAAGTTTAAAAATTTAAAATGCCGGAAGATTTGGTATTCCTATTATGTCGATTATTTAAAATTCGAATTATAGCACACAATTAAGTAACTACAGATAGTTTTTGGACTGGGTTAACTTAAAGAGTATATGTATTCCCTGTACAATTTTTCGTATCTCGCATTCATTATTAGCAGGTTCCTTATTTTAAATCTTGAACCTATTAGAATTTCTAGTATTATTTTATTCACCATTTCTAATACAAAACACTAAATTTTATCGGACACGTGTATATATAAATACAAAATATAGTAAAATAATGTGTTAATGTTTTAAATGACGTCACATCCACAAAACTTTCAATGAACTATTTTGTACCTACTCTATCCTATCTCGTACTTTTACTATATAGTATTTACGATTTACTGTTTACATTTTACAATAATGGTGTTTTTATAATAATTACAGATCAAAAACCAAAAATGTACCCTACGAAAAGCATGAACGAGTACATGAGCGAGATTAACAGGCTATTTCCTAGAAGCACCGAAAATGGTAAGCGGACATTTTAAATAAAGAGAATTTTACTTTCTTATTCAAAAAATAGTAACATCGTGTTCAGGAACAATGTGTTCTTTTTTTAAAACTATATTTTGAACACAGATCAAGTATTGTCTTGCATTGTTCTTATTTTAAAATCGGACAAAAGTGACATATGTTTTTTAACTAGGCTTTGAAAGGTTTCATTGTATTGAATTTTTTTTGGTTTAGCTTAGTTAGAATACAAGAACAAAATTTAATGTTATAATTTCACTAAAAAATAGATGTTTTAGTTAACAACTAATTAGTTACAATTACAACTGTTCACATTAATTTATATTTCGTTAATCTATTCAGGTTTTCGTAGGAAAAGTATTTTTTTTGGTATTAGAGGTACCTACCCTATAGCCTTTAATATGCCCCTAAAAATAAGGTGAAATTCACATCACTTGAATAGTTAAGGTGTGAAAGTTAAATCGATTAAAGTAGTTTTTCTCATTCATAATATTACTTTAATGGAGTACTGGACACCATCAATCTTAACAACAATTTGCTATTAACCATAGAGTCAGCCAATACTAGTTTTTCTTTGTTACATTGAATATAATATGTTACAGTAAACTAGCCAAAAAGAAACTAAAAAAAATGCAGAATAATGGTTTAACAACTTGTCTTTATGGAATTCAGAGTTTAATAAACTTTTTAAAATCTTGCTAGTAGAAATATTTCTAAGGAAATTGAACAGCAATTATGAACATGAAAATATTTTGTAACCGTTTAAATCTGGATAGTAGAAAAAAATATAGAAATACTGGTATGTCTAATTTATTTTTAAGTAAGCAAATGCATGTTGAGTAATGTTTAGCAGAAGACACTTAAAGTATACTGCAAGTATTTAAAAGCTATTATCACTGTTCAAAATTGGTGGGTTTATGCTAGTTAATCACCAGTGGTGTAGAAAAAATACCTCCATAAATATTAATAATTGACTATTTTTACTATAAGTAGACTTGTATGAGAAGTATCTAGGTATAAATTTTAAAAGCCCTACTAAATAACATATTTTATTATGTGGTTCAAGTTACTATTAAACACATACATTTTTAAATTTAAAAAAAATCAACCATAGTTAATTGCTTTTTATCATACATTTCAGATATCTATCGCACCCCGAACCCATCAATCACAAACATGCATTCACCGTTCCCTCAGTCAACATCCATCAACAGATCTTCTAGTTCCGCTGACTCAGCTTCGTCAGAATCATTCCCTGATATGTCACAGCAATCTGACAGATACAAACCTTCAGAACATTCATTTGATACACCATTTGTCATTCGACGCCAAAGGCCTATAGTTGGGAGAAAAATCTTTGATAACCCAGACAGACTTGCACCAATGTTGGAACCAATACCCCAGAAGCCGTTTGAAGAGGAGATACCAAACACTATATGGCAGTCTGAAGATCACCACCTATTTTCGCAGACACCTCCAAATAGAGTTGAACAGAATAACTGCAATAGAAATGTGTTCTACGAACTGTTCCCAACTGAACAGAAAGGTTTCGAATTCAGAACACCAATATCACCACGGTCACCCGCATCCAACTACACAGGCTCTATTGGAAATTCACCAATTTTTTCACCAACAGTATCAAATATTTCACCAAATTCTGGAAAAGTCACTTTACCTCGAATGCCAACACCACCAGCCTTTCATCGCTCATCAAGCTTTGCAAGTTCTTCAAGATATGACGTAAAGACTCCAAAAATGTGCACCTTCTGTCGTAAGAATGGAGAAACTCCCGTAGTTTACATGACGCATACGGTTAAAGAAAAGGTCGGGAACCATAATATCGTGACCTGTCCAATTCTAAGGTCTCATGTATGTTCCACTTGCGGCGCATCGGGAGACAACGCTCACACTATGTAAGTTATTTCGATTTCTTAGGGTTTTATACCCAAAAAGTGAAACGGGACCCTGTTACTAAGACTCCGCTGTCTGTCTGTCACCAGGCTGTATCTCATAAACAGTGATAGTTGACAGTTGAAATTTTCACAGATAATGTATTCCTGTTTCCGCTACAACAACAAATACTAAAAACAGAATTTTGCCGTTTTTATAGATAATGGTACAGAAGCTTTAGTGCACGAGTCCGACTCGCACTTGGCCGGTTTTTTGTTTTTCAGTTATAAAACTATGTAAAACACACCCAAATAGTTTTATTCAGCATTGCTGCTATCACAATTTTACCCTTTTTTGTGTTTTTATTACACCTTTACTGTGTGTGAATTGTAAACACCTGATTTCTTCACTCATACATTTTCTAATTATTACGGTTTCAAAAAATTACTGTATTAGCTTCAATTTGTCTAGTACTAGTCCAATAAAATCACAGGTACTTCGGAACTACTGATTTAGGTGTAGTGGATACCTTCGGGCCGTCACTCCATTGAGGTTTTGGTGACTCGGAAGCGAACTGAAAAAATAAATATAAGATTGATTTGGAAACAGCTTTTATTAAGACACTACCAGACCCCCACCCCTTCATCTGCATCTCTTAAAAGAATTAGATTTTCCCTGTTTTGCAATATTTTCCATTGATGCTTGGCTCCTTTTGGTGGTAGTGTGATGTTATATAGCCTTAAAGCCTCATCCTCCTCCTCCTCCTCGATAAATGGGCTATCCTATACTAAAAGAATTTGACTGCACGGATGGCGTAGTGGGTTAAGCAGTCGCAGCGACGCTTCCTACTGTGCTTAATGTTGTGGGTTCACTTATCACATGGAATATCACTTTGTGTAATCCACAAATTGTTGTTCTGGGTCTGGACGTTCTTTGTATCCGTTAGATGTATGTTTGTAAAGTCCCCCGCCACACAGGATATATATTAATATTGTTGTCTTTTAAAGACAAAAAAAATATTTTTTTCATTTCCAACTAGTGGTTTCTGAGATTAGCGCATTCAACCAAAAGACGTCTTCAGCTTTATAATATAAGTGTAGATTAAGTTATCTATTGGATGCATCTGACATAATGTTTTCACATTTCAGCACTTACTGCCCAGTCCTGAGAGTCAACAACAACGGCCAGCCATTGCAATCCACCACCATAACTCTAAAGAACACACGCATCAAGAGTAATGGCAGACGACGCTATTAATTTGAGCTTAGTTCAGCCATGTCAAATGAAAATTGGGCCGACAAGCTAATACCAGGTAGTATAAAAATTGAGTTTAATTTTTCTTTAGAATGACGTATTATATGCAATATACTTTTCAGGAATCTGTATTTTATCTTAAAAATTCGGGAGCATCCATTAATTACGTTTATTAATTAATTGCTCTCCCTCACTTACTTCTCGTAAGTTGACATTTGTTAACACCCCAGTAACAGCCCTAACCATACTATACCTAGTTGTTACATTAGGAAATGATATGTTAACGTGTGAGGTTTTTCAGTAATAGAAGAGGTGGCCATTAACAAAACATCGCATGGATATTTTCATTTATCCTACTTTTACGTAATTAATGGATACACCCGTTCTTAAATTGTTTTAAATTAGCATGAATATCTGACTAATATTCGAATTGAATATGAGACAGAATAAACTCTAATATTTAGTTATTGGAGTATTTTTTTAAATGAAAGCAGAACTGTCAGAAAATTGACATTAGTTACCCAAAACTATGTACTTTTTTTTTACGCCCAAAAAATATCGGTAAATATACTTGTATCATGTTTTTCCAGTTATTAATAAAAATGTATAATCTTAAATACAACTACAATCTTTAGTTTTGCTAATATATTCTGACTTGCTAAGGCAAAAGGTTGCTTTTCGACATTATCGAAACATCTCAAATATATGAAACTTAACTTAAGCTTAATATATTTGAGATCAAACATCTCGATTTTTTTTTTTTTATTTACTTTGAAGTCTTCTTTTTCTTTTAGAAGTATTGTAGTATTTTATATAACGGTTTTTATAACTGAGAATATTGTTTTTGTTAATCATGATCTCCAATGACCAAAGCACCAGTGATGCTCAATTTTGATCTCTATTTTAATGCCTATAAGACTTGTGTAACCTATAATTTAATTATATCTGTACTCTTATTTTATCTTTGTAAACCAGTTTCCTTTTGACTATATTTATACAACATCATTTTAGCTATTCTAAATAAGTAAATTGGGCTTTAAAAAAATTGTATTTCTCTAAACTAACTTTTAAAATTCCTTTATTAAATTAAATAACACATCTCACACACGGCCGTCTGATCCCAAACTAGGCAAAGCCTGTGCTATGGTAACCAGACTGCTGATAAACATACTTATATATTTTTAAATACACAAATTATAGATAAGTTACACCCAGACACAGAACAAATGATCGTGCTCATCACACATTATTTGTCCTGGGTTGGAATCGAACCCAGGACCTCCGTCTTAGCAGTACAGGGTCACTAACCAGACCAACAGGCCCGTCGACGACTTTTTTACGTATATGTGACAAATCATAGTAAATTTCTATTCTTTATAATGTTAAGTGATAGTGATTATAGGCTGTTGGTGATAGTGATGGTGATTAATGATCCTGTTCTATCAGCAACTTATTATGATGTTTGATTCACGAATACGATGTATCGAATTACAATTCGTATACAAAATATCGATATAATTGAATATGATATAATCGAATTTAGAATAATCGATAGAAATAAAAAAAAAATCTTAGAACGTCGTACTTTTAACTTATAGAATGGCCTGTTGATCGAGTGGTTAGTGGTTGCTAAATAAGAAGTAGTGGGTTTGATATCCACCCAGTCCTAAAAATATTATGTAATGAGTATGATGATTTGTTCTGTATCTGGGTGTAATTTATCTATTATATGTATATTTATTAACTATGTTTATCAGTAGTCTGGTTATCACAGTACTGGCTCTGATTGATCCCAAGATCATACAACCATGTGTGAGTCAAGTAATTATTGTTCAGTAATACTTAAAATGATGTTGTATATTTATATTTAATGTAAAATTAAGGCCTTTTTAAATCTCTTTTATTTGTATTTTGACGATTTTGATCGTACCCTAGTCTTTTTACTCAAATTTGACAACAAAAATATCAGAAAATAATCACGGTTTTAACATTGACTAATTTACCATTTTAATTTTGATCAATACCCTTTAATCATCTTTAAAAATTGACGAATTGCATGACAAATTATTCTATCTACATATTATCAGAGTTAATAATGAAGACCAATACTCGTAATAAAAGTAAAATATTAAACATCCAAAGTTTACTTGTAATGTGATTATATCATACTAGCTGACCCGCGCAACTTCGTCTGCGTCTCTCAATAGTAATAAATTTTCTCCGTTTTTGAAACATTCTTCATTGGTGCTCCGCTCCTATTTGTCTTAGCGTGATGATATATAGCCTATAGCCTTCCTCGATAAATGGGCTATCTAACACTGAAATATTTTTTCAAATCGAACCAGTAGTTCCTGGGATTAGCGCGTTCAAACAAACAAACTCTTCACCTTTATAATATTAGTATAGATTGTAACTGGAAATTGAATCGGTAATCTGCTGGTCTTAGTAATACTTTAATATTTTACTACGAAAATACCTTTTATGACAATTGCGAGGTCAAGAGTTGATCGGAACTGAATTTTGATCGAAATTTTATTACGAGAATTGGCCTTCTGAAAACTACCTTCATTTTTTATAAACTACATTGATTTTTAGGTGTATAGGATTTTTCAAGTGTCACTCGGCATATTACATTGTCCTCTATTTAGTACCAATAATATTTTTTAAGTTTTTTATAAAAATATCATGGCCACATTCGACTTGACAAAGGGTTACAAGTCATTAGGACTTGGACCTTAGAGAAAGTGCAATAGATTAACGTAATGAAAAGGAAATAAAGCCCTTTCTTGTAAATATCACACCTTCGGCAAAACTAGATGATTGTTCTTTTTGTAATTTTATAGTTGAGGTATTTTTTTTGTAATTCATATCGTAATTATGCCTTAGACTTGCAATATTGTCTTCTGTTACATTAAACTTAATAGAACTCTTTGTTTCTATATATATGGGAGGGTATTTTAAAATTGTGCAAATTGTACAATCTTTAAATTATATATAAGAATATAGGACTAAACCTCACTCTCACTTTTGGGTTGTCTCTGAGGTGGAGGGCAGGGACGGCAGTGTGTTACAGGAAGTAGCTGAAACGCACGTTATTTGATGCGACCAATTAGCGCACTCGGCGTCGGGCGTACTTATCATCACAATTTGAAAGCCAAATCTCGTAATAAAAGTTCGGTCAAAATTCAGTACCGATCTACGCTTGATCCCACAAATATAAAAGGTATTCTCGTAGTAAAGTATTAATCATCCAACGTTGACTAATTATAGTGATTAAATCTAATCTGCTAGTATTATAGTCTTAGTCTCTGCTAGTCTTAGTAATACTTTACCATTTTTACTTCGAGAATTGCTTTTATGAGATTTGTGAGATTGCGAGTACATCGGAATTGAATTTTGACCAAACTTTTATTCCGAGAATTGGCCTTCTTATTAATGGTTTACGGCTCGGTCGGTGCGACACCATAGCCTCCCCTGATTTGTGACCATAAATAGGGTAGATTCCTAAGTTTTAATGAATTATTTCGCCTGCATAATTAAATCTAACATCTTAGAGACTGAATTGTCCTCCATTATCAAGCTTTCTATTGATTTGATATCAACCTTAAATATAAATGATTTGACAATAGAGAGGTATGACGTCACCAAATAGTATTTCACACAAACTGATTTGACATGACAGTCATATAACTTACCATCAAGTGACCCGCCAGCTCTTTTGTCCCCCCTCCTCCCCTGAACAGGAATCAGGTCCAAATGCTGATTTTTTTTAATACAAATTTCATTGTTAAAACAGTTTTAATGAAATATTTAATATGATTTCTGTTACAAATATGAATTATAACTGTTAGTTTAAGAAATGATTAAAGTTGTTATCCTGCCAATAAATAATATAGATGAATATTTATTGTTCCAAAGACAAGTAGCTAGAAGGTAACAATAAATTATTGGAAGATATTACTTGCCAATGATATTCCATAAACCATATCCATAACGAAATCAGACTTCGTTTCAAATTTCTGATGATTTGACTGAAAATATGTAATAGTAATAATTGATTTTTTATACAAAAAATTAAAGAATGGTATCTGTCTAGCCGAGATTAAGTTTTGAAAAAAAAAACTAACAAAATTTCAAAGTTATTTCTATTGTATTAATACCTATAAAAAATGCAATAGTCTTAATAATACATTTAGAAAAGGCAGACTCATTTATGTATTAAAATCATTAACGACACATTTTTAAGTCAAATCAACAACCAAATTATGCATCCATTTTAATTGTATTATAATATTGAAATACATAAAACGTTAGTTAGAATAATTTAGTATAAGCTTTTAAAGCTATTTTAACTAGAATATAAGATTGATTATGGTACGAATGAGATTATAGAAAGTTGGAATGTTTTTTTTTTACATACTCTGTGCTTAATTGCATCAATACTGTTGATTGTTCTGCATTTAAATGTAATTAGATTTTTTTCTACAATTCATGTTTTAGCCTTTTCTAACTTTACTATACTGTAATTTACCAAAATAAAGAGTTTATTGCGAAAACCAGTAAAGTGCAGTCAACTAAGTTTTATGTTATAGTGTTTTAAAGGTTTTTAACCAATTATGATATTAAGAAATTGTAAATCTGTGTCGTATTTCTTATGATTTCTGAAATATATTCTGGAATTTATAAATTTAAAATTATAGTGGGTGTTTAGTAAGCCTCTGTCAACCCCCCTTGGAGATAAGAGGTGAGTCATACTCTCACGTCTTTATCCCCAAAGGGGGGGGCAGACAAGTGTTTCAATAAATGCTATTTAATGCTGGCACCTGTACTAGATTGTTACTTTTTTATAAAGGAGTAAAAAATGTTCTTTTTTAAATTTTCATGTAATAAAAATTAGCACAACGTGGATATGTAGTTAGTTAAGGGAGAAATAAAAACCTCTTTCTTACTATTTGTAATTAAAACAGATTATATTGTTCATGATTTTAAAAAGTCAGTTTTGA